CATCAGGGCGAGCCCCGGAGGCCGTCTGCGCCAGGTCAGAGGCTGTCGTCTCCAGGTGGGCACGCGCAGCCGGGTGGAGAGGCCGCCTCTGAGCCTACGCAGAGCGCCTGTCCGCTTCGGCAGGCAGCGGTTGAAAGCGAGCTTCCAACGGGACTTGCAAAGGCGCCCACCTAAAATTGCGTTTTATTATTCCCCCCTTTGCAAAAGCGAGGGGGCGAGTCTCGAACCCGCGACTGCGTTTCATCCCTCGCTTTGTTCAACGCCACTCGGGGGTGGGGAGAGGCGTGTGTGCGTGCGCGCCCCCTAGCGGCGAGCCGGTGGAAACGAACGCAGACGATCTACGAAGCGTTTTGCGCCCCGCGAGCGGGGTCGATCACTGCGCATGTGCCAAGGCACTCGCCCCTCCTCTCGGGCCTCTCGTACGCACGCGCGGAAGGAAAATTACACGTCTGAGCTCGGCTGCCGGGGCAGTCCCGCGCGTGCGCAAGAGAGGCTCCGGCGTGGTGGGGGCAAGAGGCTCTCTCAGCGGCGCATGCGCAAGGAAGACACGCTCTGGTTCAAACCGAGGGGGGATTGTTTGCTCGGCGGACGGAGCGGGGGCGCGTCGTGCGGTGCATTATGGGTAACGTGGTTTTCTGGGAAGGGAGAGGTGGGCGTCAGGGCCCCCGTTGTAAGTCAAGGGCCTCCTGGATATTGTGGCACTGTGGGTAAGGCAAGTCAGATGGGGGAGGGGGGCACCTCGCCATGTCATTACCCAGAATCCCCCAAACTGGTGCCTTCCAGAGACGTTGGACTATACTCTCCATCATTCCCACCCAGTACTGTTTCCCTGGTTAGTTGCGCCATTGTTTTTGCTCTCCTGCTAAAGGGGTATTGGGGGCAGAGGGGAATTATGGGTAAAGTGGCATTGTGGATATTGTAGAGGAGCATTGTGGGCACGGGAAAATTATGGGTAGAGGGGCATTGTGGACAGAGGGGAATTATGGGTAGAGGGACTTTGTGGGCACAGGAGAACTATGGGTAGAGGGACTTTGTGGGCACAGGAGAACTATGGGTAGAGGGGCATTGTGGGCGCAGGAGAATTATGGGTAGAGGGGCATTGTGTACAGAGGGGAACTATGGGTAGAGGGACACTGGCTCAAATGAGACTGGAAGACTTAAGATTTAAATATATATTTTTAGTGTTTTGCGAGTTTTACCCCGTATATGTCAGCCATTCCTTTGGGGGAGAACGCCGAATGGACCCGCTTTCCCGGCCAAGAGCGGCATTGCTGCGATGGGTCTTGCTCCCCCAGAGGAACGGCTTGCCCGACGGACAGCAGGGGAGACGCCAGGAGGGCCCCCACCCAAAGCTGCTCCTCGGCTTCCCCGGAGCCCCACCTGCCCGGGCGCCCGTGCAAAACTGCCTGACAGCCGCGTGACGCCAAGAGGGGGCATCCCCTGTCAAACGCTGGATAGGCCAGGATTCGCCTCCTCAAACAAACCACCATCGGCCGGAGCTCCCTCCAGGCCGCCCCAAGAGCAAGGCGAAGCGTGGCTTACCGTGACCGTCTCTGTCTGCCTTTCCAGCTGTCAGCACAGGAATATCCCTGGTGCTCTCCTCCCTCCTGTCCCTCCTGCTCTTCACCGGCATGCAGATGTACAGCCGCCAACTTGCCTCCAGCGAATGGCTCACCATCCAGGGTGGCCTCTTGGGGTCAGCCCTGTTCATTTTTTCCTTAACCGTATCCTTTCGGCTGGGGGGGGCTCTCCCGAGGGGGCTGCCGGAAGAAAATATTGCATCGTCTCTTCACACGGATTGATCTCGTCCTTCCTGTCTAAATTTCCCTTTGAGGAATTTTTTACAACATGCGGACTGTATTAATACAGTAGTACTGGTATATTGTTTATAAAGAAAGAAATATATTTTGGGGGAAAACGCTTGATTTAGACGGATAAGGGTATGCAATCAAAAAGGATGAAGTCTGCTGTGGGGAGGAGAGGGGATTATTAACCTGGGTAGAGATCTCAAATTACTACAATTGAGGACACGTGTTCATGCATAAAGGATGCAAAATGACGCGGAGTTTAGGAACTCTGTTGCAGATCCCCTCTTGAGATCAAGTCAGGATGGAATTAAAACCCACAGGATAAAGTGCTATAAACTTATCAGAACATCACGCTGCAAGTGTGACAATTAAATCTGGTCTTTTTTACGCTGTCTTGCAAACAATACTTTATAAATAACGTCACTGTGAACTATGGAACAGCTCTTGGCCTTCTGAACGGCTTTTAAGACTTTTTAAGACTTTTTCCTGGATGTTTGAGAGGTCCAGTCTATGCAGATTTGTATTGTACCTCAATTTTTTTTTTTTTTTTGGTACAGGATTATTTTTTAATTCTATCTTTGTTCAGTGACAGATTTTTTTAACATGTTTTTTGTAATGTGGTTGTTAGACCCCCAGAGTTATGAATGTAAGATGGGCGGCTATATAAACTTTCCAAATAAACCAAATAAAATACACTAGCAAGTTTCCTGGCCTTTGCTAATCCTATCTAGCAAACTCCTCGACACCTAAAAACCTCATTCGGGGAGAAAGGATGACTTTTTGACTAGCATTCATAAAGGTATGAAACAGACCCCATTTCAAATCCTACAAGGGTGTGGTGCAAAAAATGAGGGAACTTGAGGCTGGTAGGCAGGAGTGAAGCAACCGAGGTGAACGTCTGGTGCAAACTGGAGGATTGCAAAATAGGTCAGGGCTTTCAGGAGGTGTTATCCTTGACCACAGACCCATTCAAGGCCTTCAACAACCTCGAAAACCTGATTTTCGGCAAAGGGTTCCAAGCGAAGGTCTTTCCTGAAAGTGAGTCACATGGAAAAGGGGCTGGGTAGGCTGGGAGCTGGCCCATGGATGGTTCATCCTGATCTTCTGTCTGCTTTTTTTCTTCCCCATCTACAGTTATTTCCTGTCTCCTGTTAGCCCTTTTTGCATCAGGACTGATTCATCGAGTCTGTGTCACCACTTGGTAAGAGCCAAGGTGGGCTGGGTGGGCCGGGGCACAGGGATCGAGAAGAGAGAGGCCTTTAATCCAAGCACAAACCCTCCTCTCAGAACAATTCCGGATCAGGGGTGGTCCAAATTCCAGCATGTCTGAGACAGTCGCTGGCTTTGAGTCTGGAGAAAGAATTTGGAGTGTTTCTCTGCTGAACAATATCACCACAGCTGTACCTATGACTGTATAACTGTACACCTTAAGCCTAAGAGAGTGGGGGGGGACAAAAGTGAGAAATTGGCCCGCATCTAAGGCAATTAAAGAAGTTTATAAGCAACTCCACCTGGGATCAGAAATGTGAGCAAAAAATCGTAGTTTTTTTTATTCTTTGAAAGGCCTTGCTGGGAGGGAGGAGAGTGAGTGAGAGAAAGGGAAGAGAAGAGAAGGGGAGGGAGGGAGGGAGGGAGGAAAGACAGAGAGAAGCAGAGGAAGGCAGGCAGGGGAGAGAGGAAGGAAGGAGGGAGGGAGGAAGGCAGGGGAGAGGGAAGGAAGGAAGGCAGGCAGGCAGGCAGGAAAAGAGAAGGAAGGCAGGAAAGAGGAAAGCAGGGGAGGGAGGGAGGGAAGGAGGAAGGAAGGAAGGGTCATCTGCTTGTCTAGCCACCCATCTATCCATCTTTGCCTTCTCTTGATAAAATGGACTTCTGTCCTCGGAAGCTACTATAGCAGTAAATCCCTTACTTTAAAGTGGCAATTGGCATTTGTGGGCACAGATCGCAAGCCTCATGGGGATCCTTTGCCGCTCTCTGTCCCTGCAGCTTAATCTTCTCCATGGTCGCCCTCTACTACATTCACAAGATCTCCTCCACGCTCTACCAAATGGCCACGCCCGTCCCCGTGCCAGCGAAGATGGTCAGCAAAAGCCGGAAGAGGAATTGACAACGGAAAACCCCCCTAACCTCTCCGATTTCCAAGGGGTGGAAAAATGCCATTTCTTGCTTAATGAAATTCAATAAATCTCTCAGTTTTTTTAGCAAAAGCAACCAGGCTGGTATATTTTACAGCTTTGAAGCCAACGGCCGTCTTATTCTAGGCTCTGCTTAGCGTTCTGCAGAGATGGAGAGGGATTTATCGTCTAGAATAAAAGGCCCGAGAGAAGGAAGGGAAAAGAGCAGGAGGCTGATCAGGAAAAACGGAACAGGGTATGTGACGTAGTTGAGCATTTGTCTGATGCAATAAAATAATACACGTCGGGAAGGCAAACAGCACTGATGTGGGGAAAGAACATTAATAGCTCTTTGCTGGACTTTCAATGACATCAGTGCGACTGGCTGAGTAAAATTAATCATTGTTTTAAAAAGCGAGTCCTGTGGAATAAATCCGATGTACTATTTCTGTTTAAAATTCAGCCATGGCTATAAATAAGCCAATAAAAATATATCGATATATATCGATATCTGTCTTGACCAGGGGTTCCCAACCTTGGCCATTTTAAGAGGGGTGGATTTCAACTCCCAGAATTCCCCAGCCAGCATGCTGGCTGGGGAATTCTGGGAG